TTCATTATAATTACTATGGTAGTTCTACTTTAAGGTTAAATGTGGGCTAATTATGTGTTTAAGTGGAGGTTTTACAATTTGATATTAGATTCTTGATCTAGTGCTTGTGTTTATGCATTGAGTATTTAGAAAGTTGGTAATATGTATTCTATACATATCTTTCCCTTTGTATAGTTAAAGGTTTATTATTTGTATTTACTCTTCTAGGTTGGCCTTCATTCTTAGGAGGGGAGAATGGATAAATTAGCATATTTATCCTTGTGGCAATGAAATTTTAAGACAAAAAAAAAAAGAAAGAAAAATCCAATTAGATATTAATAAGAATGTACATAATTGAAAGAGGATATATCTAATTGAGTTATGGAAATCACATTTTCTTGTTATATTGTACTAGATGTGTGGCAAAAATATCTATATGTTGATTGAATTCTCTCATTATTTCTCCAACAAACTTGGTCATTGAAGGAAGTTGTTTGAATACTTATCTAAAAGTTCCTCTTTTAAAGAGGAGGTTTATACACATAGTGTGGCAAGAAAATGGAATTTAAGTAAAATGAAGAAGTCAAAGATCTATAAGTTAGTAATAGATGATATGTTTGAAAAAAAAAATAATTGGTAACAATTTACACTTGTTAGGACTTGATTAGAGGAAATGACTGCAATGTGGATATATTATTGAATCATGGAGAAACACACACACACACACACACACACACACACACACACACACACACAAAAAGAGAGAGAGAGCTATTGGAAAGTTTTATTGGTAACAAAGAAGTCAAGAAAATGTCAAATCCTAAGGGCATTACTGTATAGTTTAGTACTAGAAATAGATTACATAATTGACAAGGTGAATTGGAGCCGCAAGTAACAATCACCCTATAAACCATTGTTATGTGGATAGTGGATTTTTTTAGAATAAGAAATTTAAATATTGATTAAGTTGATGGGTAAATGATATATGGAAGGATTTACATATATAATGATGTTAGGTGCTTTATAGTGAGAATAAGGCCCAAACAGGAGTAGTGAAGACACTCTATAATGTGAGAATCAAGAATGTTTAATGAATGAAGAACTTTTTATTTGAAGTTTAAATCTATACATAGAGACTTATTATACTTAAAAATGAATATGTATGTCTTTTGAAGATTTCTTCACATTAAAGTTTGCATGAACCTTTGTTCTCAAGACAAATGATTTGGTGAAAAAGATTATTTCTTTGGCGATTTAAGGTCTTATGCCAAAAGCACTTTCGAATTGTCTACTTGAAAGACTTATCCTTTCAAACAAATTATGACAATTAGATACTTTCTCATAAACAATTGAACAAAATATTTCTCAAACTTTATGTTTAGAAATGGAAAGTTTGTCCATTTTTGAGGTCTCTCTCTCTCTCTCTCTCCCCCCTCCCTTCCTCTCTCTCTTGATAAGGAATGAAAAGGTTTGAGCAAGCATAAAATCACAAGGTATATTTCTATATGCAGTGGCGGAGCTAGGACTCTGAGTTAGGAGGTACGAACTAATTTAATAAAAAATCATTATTTTTTTAAAATAGTAATAATTATGCTAGGATAAAAATTATAATAACACAAATAAATTTATCATTATTTTTCATTTTAAAAATTATGTTGGATAAGTTGATATGGTCTTTTATTATAAATATGCTATTCACATTTTATTTAAATCATTAAAATATTATATATTTAATAAGTTTTTAAACCTAACTATTTTTTATTTAGTTCAAAGGGGGCAAAATATTAAAATAAGGAGTGTAAAGTTGTAAATTTTACATGTCCCACTTGTAATTTTCTCCAAAGTAAGATGCACCCCCTCACTCCAATATGGCTCTGCCACTGTCTATATGTATAGTAATCTATTTGTGAAATAAAGTCTCAATTGTCAAGTCTAATATGTTCAACGCCCATTTAAAAAAAAGAGTTATAAATGAGTGAACATGAAATATTAGCATTTATGGATAGCTAAATGTAGGGCATCAAGGATTATTATTATTAAATTATCATTAGAAGTTAAGGATTCATAATAGGTACTGGATTAACTCTAGAGGGTATTATACAAATTTGATAAAAGTATTGCAACTGATATTGATGAATAGACGTAAATTAGGTTAAGTCATTGATTCTAAACTTTAAGGAAGTTGTGAAAGAAATGAACCTGATAAGAGGATCGAGCTTGTGTCCTAAGGGATATAAGGATAGTTATAACTTTGATGTTCATAAGGGTAAGGAACTTTAGTTTATAGTGGAGAATTGTAATAACATTTGATTTTTCCCTTATTATGTTGGGATATCAATTGTGGGTATGTGTGTTTTGTGAAAGAAATGGACCTGATGAGAGGATCGAACTTGTGTCCCAGGGGATATAAGGATAGTTATAACTTTGATGTTAATAAGGGTAAGGAACTTCAGTTTATAGTGGAGAATTGTAAGAACATTTGTTTTTTCCCTTATTATATTGGGATATCAATCTTGTGTATGTGCGTGTGCTTGCAGATGCACTATAATTGTATGAGAATGGTATGGTGCTTCTTTAGAGCTTGTTGACTGTTGTTTTGGGAATGAAATTAAAATTACATATTACACTTATTGATCTCCATAATTAATTATAATACAATTAATTATTTTCAAATATGCTCATTGTTGTCAAATGTTAGATAAAATAAAAAATTTTTAGTTGAGATAATTATAAATCTATTTAAACTTTTTTGGATATATTGAACTCTTATGAAGTGAGTTTTACCCTTTTTAAACATTATAAAGATGAAATCATATAAACTATGCTCATTTCATCTTTTCAAACATACTTGATCTTTACTTGCTCCTACTAAATAACGTTTTATCTGAATTGGAAAAAATTTTGAGAATTTTTCTTTAGGATTTGACTAATGGGGACAAAAAACTTCACCTTTTCTCTTGGGATAGAATTACTATAAACGGAAAAGTTGGGGGGCTTGGTCTTAAGAAGCTAAAGAATCAAAATATTATTTTCATCATGAAGCTTTGTTAGGGCTTCATTAATAAGCCTAACTATCTTTGGGTATATATTTTCTGTGATAAATACAAATGCAATAAACCCAAAATTCTAATAGTAATTAAACCAAACACTTGCTCTTATACTTGGAGTAGCATTTACAAGGGTTGGGATAAATTCATGACTCATATAGGTTGGAAAGTTGACAAAGGAAATCAAATATTCTTTTGATATGATAAATGATCTCCGCTCCCTAACCCTCTTATTAAGCATGCATTTCTCAATGCCAATTTTATTCTCCATGTTAGGGCTTCTGACTTTCGCAAGAATACAAGAGGATGGAACATAGATCTTTTAGGTTGCTATCTCTACCCTAATGTGATTAAACGAATCTCACTCATGCAACCTTCTAACCAAGAAGGTGAAGAAGATATCCCTTTTGGGAGACCATCCTCTGATAGCAACTTTTCCATCAAATCTGCTTATAGAGCCATGAAATCCTATAAGGAACAACATCACTCTAATATATGGACTAAGATATGGAAATGGGCTACACATAAAAAATAAAATATTTTCTATAGAAGGATACTTCGAATCGTCTCCAACTCAATCACAAGCAAACAACTGGAAATACTCTCTATCAATGTACCTATCCCCATGGTTGTAACTCCCTTGACTCTTCAATTCATATTTTACACGATTGTGAGGAAGCTAAAGAGGTTTAGTTAAAATTATTTAATCCAACAAATTTTAACACCATCTTCTCTCTTGATGTGTAGGATTGGATAATCTGGAATGCAAGGATTGAAGCAGGCACCTTAAAATAAGAAGAATGCCCTAGTAGAGACTCTTTACACAAGCTTACTGGAATATCTAGAAAACTAGATGCAATAATTAATACTTGAAAGATGAGGTCCCAGACAACGATATTGGCTTCTCCACCACCCAGCAAATAAACAATGATTTGAAATTTCTATCCAAAATCACCCGGTTGGGAAAAAAAGACTATACAAATGGCACTAAATAGAGCCCACCTGAACTTGGATGGGTTAAACTTGACACAAACGGCTCTGTTAATATTAATGGTGCAGCAACTTGTGAAGACATTATCAGAGATGATAAAGAAAATTGGTTTAAAGGATTTTCCAAATACCTAGGATGTCAATCTAGCATAACTAATGAGAATTTTTGAAGGTCTTAACCTTTGTTGGAATGTGAACTTGCCTAAAGTCAATGTTCATTCTAATTCAATAGAGGCATTGTCACTCATTAATTGCTCCTACTTTGAGAGTCATCTATTATCAGACACTATCAAAAAAAAAAAAAAGAGAACTTACTATGAGAGATTGGATAGACACATTTTACTACGTTTATAGAAAAGTAAATAGATGTGCTGACTTCTTAACCTACCGGTCGAGTTTTGATGTCTTCGATATCATGATTTTTGATGTTCTCCTGCATGATTGTAGTAATCTTATAGTTTTAGATATAAATAGATTTTAGCCTCTTTGTATGGTTTTGCCGTGACTTTATAATAAAAAAACATTTTGTACTAAAAATATCTATTTTTAATATTCAAATCATAATATTTTAAAAATTTAAATAACATAAAATGGAAAGAATACACGATAAACTAAGAAAAAATACTACACATTTAGTTTTATATATTTACAGTATTTTTTAATTAAATCAAGGCATGCAAATTATTTATAAATTATTTATGTTATAATAGATTCTTGTTATAAATATTATTTTTTTTACAACACTTATTATTAATATTATTAAATTAATTATTAATCCATTAAAAAAACCATGAATAAAAATATTATATATATATATATATAAAGACAAAGTGACAAGTTTTTAGTTTACCACAAACTCTTTGGCAAAAAGTAAAAAAAAAAAAAAAAAATTACCCATAAACTAAGTACGTAATCTGGTCCCCAAAAAAAAAAAAAAAGTACGTAATCTCGCGTAAATTTGAGTCAATTTTGAAATTTCCGTCGGAGTGAGCATTCCTTACGCGTAAACCCAAATCTCGAGGCCTTTCCTTAACGCGGATCCCCGGCATCGTTGTCTTCTCCTTCCTCTTCCTGTCACTCAACTCCATCGCATCAAGTTTTCAAGCGAAGCGCATCTTCTGTGTAGTTTTCTGACTTCGATTTCCTCAATTTCATTCAATCATCGATACAGCACCCAACCCTATTATCATGGTGCAACCGGCGGCTAATTCCCAATCCAACCAGCAGTTCTTGAGCTCCGTCCTCTCCCAGCGTGGCCCATCGGCGCTTCCGTACACCGAAGATACCAAATGGCTCATCCGTCAGCACCTTCTTAATCTCACCACCAACTTCCCTTCTCTTGATCCTAAAACTGCTACTTTCACTCACAATGATGGACGCTCCGTTATCCTCCTCCAAGCCGATGGGACAATTCCGATGACCTTTCAAGGCGTCACGTACAATATCCCAGTCATTATATGGCTGATGGAGTCATACCCTCGTCATCCACCTTGTGTGTATGTGAACCCGACCCGAGACATGATCATCAAGCGCCCTCATCCCCATGTCAGCCCATCCGGTCTGGTTTCTGTGCCTTACTTGCAGAATTGGATATACCCAAGTTCCAATTTGGTTGATCTTGTGAAAAATTTGAGTGTTGTTTTTGGTCGCGATCCACCGCTTTATTCCCAGCGTAGAGCACCGCCACCTTCATCGAACCCTAATTCGAATTTCGGGGTTAATCCAAGTGGCAGTTTGTCCGGTATTTCGTCGAGTTTGGGGTCTACGGCTGGGTATGCTCACCCGCCGATTCCTCCGAGGACCTATCCGCCTTCTCCTTATGGTAGTGGTGGGGCAGCTGCTCGGGTTCAATCACAGACTCACACGGAGGATCCAACGGAGGTTTACAAGCGGAATGCCATCAATAAGCTAGTGGAGATGGCACATATTGATGTTTCTGGACTGAGGAAGACGAGGGAGGTTGAAATGGAAGGGTTGTTCAATTTGCAGGTGGTATTGAGGCAGAGAGAGGAGCAAATTAATAAGGGTTTGAAGGAAATGCAGGAGGAGAAGGAAGCTTTGGAGCAGCAATTACAGATGATTTTGATGAATACAGATGTTCTAGAGGGATGGTTGAGAGACAATCAAGGGAAAAAGCTGGGAAATGTAGAGGACATTGATGATGTTTTCGAATGCGTGGATGTGCTTTCAAAGCAAATGCTTGAGTGCACAGCAGTTGATTTGGCTATTGAAGATACTGTCTATTCACTGGATAAGGCAGTTCAGACAGGCGCCATACCATTTGATCAGTACTTAAGAAGTGTGAGGGCTCTTTCAAGAGAGCAGTTCTTTCAACGTGCTACAGCTTCGAAAGTCAGAGCTGCTCAGTTGCAGGCTCAGGTTGCTAATATGGCTGCCCGGAATTCACATTATGGAAGGTAGCGGAGGGCACATGGTTGCTTTCATGTCTGATGAAGGTATATCATTAGGTCGGAATCCTTCATTGTGGGCTCAGTATCAAATTTGTTGATTACGTAGAGTCAGTGCTTCTTGCCAATATAGCATAAATTGGTGAGTACTTCAAGAACTTCGGTTGAGGTCAAAACTTGTTAGGCAGGACATGACGCTGGTCTCCTGTTCTTATACAGACATAAACACGTTTAACAATTTTGGTGTCTGGGCTTGTTAGCGATTGTTTTGAAGTAAACCTATAGATTGTAGATTTGGCTTTCTTTGTATCTGTTAATTCGGAAAGGGATTGGTATATCATGATATATATTTTTTGTTCTTTAGAAAATAAATTCTTGCATCTATTGGTTCTTTAATTGCATCATATAACTTGTGCAATAAGTAAATGTCAAGGCTCTGTTTGCTTTGCTGGGGTAATTTTTCTTAATTACATTTGATTTTTGTGTTGTTATTTTTTAATTATGCTTTCTCAGGCTGTATTTGGATTCATGGATTCAATAAGCATTCAGGTTTACGTTTTTCTTATCATAAAGTTAGACTAGCAGGGGAGTGTGGTTTTAGACTAATCTTGGAATCAATTGTTATAGTCTCGGACAAATTTCTCCATAGGTTTTTTCTAACACCCCCCCCCCGGTTTTTTTTTTTTTTTTTTGAAGTAGTAGTGAGAGTTTATATAGAGAGGCTTGTTATTTGAAATATGCTACTCATCAAATATGGTTGCAAGCAACAAAGTGATGTGCCTTTATTTGCAGAAGTTGATGAAGGTAGCTTTTCAGTCAGGGGATTTTTGAAATCCTACTTTATACATGCTGCATTCTGTAAAGATTCCTTCAATATATTAAAAGAAAATTTATTGAAAAGGGAAAGAAGTTCGTAGTAGGATAGTTGTTCTACTTGATAAAGGCCCCAATGCAAAAAATGACTGGACTGAAGTACCTCATCACCCAAATAAAGTTTTCGTTCCATTCCCAAGTTCAAAGGGGCTCCCTAAAAGAAACCATGGTCAACTTTATAGAGAATTGTTTTATATCTTGTCATAGGAGGATTCCTTGTCCTATTCCATTAAAAAACCAAGAAGCCTTAATGACAGTGGGCAGGAGCTTTTCTGTATAGATGTGACTCAGTTGTATGTTTAATGAAATGTTCATGGCAGCAGGTTGTCTAGTAAATTAATTGAGTTGGAATTTTATAATTCCTGGGTCTTGGATCCTTCATTGTTTATGTTCATTAGAAGGCAAAGTATGTAATAGCCATATAAGGGCAGGTGAGGATGAATTCTTTTCCAACAGGAATGTAATTAAAAGTGGATGAGGTTTTGTAGCTGTTTAGACATGGTTCAAGAAGAGTAAATTTCTCTTCTGGATAGTCATCATCTAAATTTGATTTTTTAACCCTCTTGCTTTGTGGATTTTATTTGTTAATACAATATAGTGATGCTTGGTTACAATGTTTCTTCAGTAGAAATTTAGAGGTGTTGATGGCATTGAAATGGTTGTTGATGAAGTGAAAAGGTGCAAATAAGGCAGAGGGGCCTTATTGCGTCCTGTTAATATGGGTAAGTAGTGTTTTGGTTTGATTGCATGTTTGTTGGGGGCTTAGTATGGGTTGCTTAAGTTTCACATCGAGTACTATGAGCTCTTGGTGTGGTACTTAAGGAGAGATTCTTTTCCATTGGGTACGCATTTTTAAGGGTGGGTTATTCATGCCTGCTTGGGTCCTTTTGATCAGTGAGAAGGACAAATGAATTGACGTAGATATGGCCACTACAACATTAACTCCTTATGATTGGTGCTATGATAAGGCCGATGTGGTATGAAATGTTTAAATTCCACATCAGATGACTGTTGTGGTAGCTAAGGAGAGTAATACTTCGACCCTGATAGTTCTTTTCACAGGTGGGTTTGTCATACCTCCTTGAGTTCTTTTATATTCAATATTTAATATTCTGTTTAATACCAAAGAGGAAAACCAAAAGAACTAGAGAGTTTTGAAATTGGATTAGTTTGGTTTGTTTAACAAATGTACTGATGTCTAAAACATTTAATTGGCGAGAGAATTTTTTGTGACTAAATTCCTGTTCAAGAACATCTAAGCTGAGAGAAAATTAAAGGAATAAATGAACTGAACAAATATCTTAGTCACATGTTTGCCAATCCCCATCTGTAAATGCTAAAAAATGAAAAGAAGAATCCTCATCAAAGAACAGGATAGTGGCAGGTGGTGGCAATCGAGAGAAACTGTCAGTGATGCTGTCTCCTTGATATGCAGAATAACAGAGACATGACCCAGAGCTTGATTAGTCTGAGACACACCAGATCAATAAAAGGCTGTTATAAATTATTCCCTCCCTATTTAAATATAAGAGAAAATAATCAATTCACATAGTTTAAGAAATTTGGTTAAGTATAATAATTATATCTGAAATTAAAAAAATTAGACTAAATTATCCTTATAATCAATGATAAAAATTTGTTTAGTGAAAATAAAAATTGATTTTATGAGAGACAATTTGGGAAAATGTGATGAATGCTTCTTGAAACTTGTAGTTTTGCTTCTAAATAAAAACAAAGAGACACATGGTAGTTTCTCTTATATTTAAAAATGGAGGGAATATGTGATCTAGGGAGAGACATAAGGGGCATGTATGATATGCTGACTTGAATGAAAAGCCTGGGAGGTTGGGTATGATGATCAGACTACAGTAGTATGGAGTTGGGATCTGGAGGTCCTATTCATATAAAGATACATCAAAATTATTTTGATCAGTCAACGAACGAATCAGCTAAATTGACTAAACATTTCTTATATTTGTTCTATGTTTGACTGGATTCTTAGTGGTTGAACATGCTTTATTAGGAATCCTAAAATTAGATTTTGAAGACACCGGTTTTGGTTTTACAATAAGTTATCAGTTCTTAGGTTTTCGAAAGCATTTACTTTCAAATTTTGAAATGATGTTTCTAGCTTTGTTTTTCTTGCGTTACTAGTGGTTTGATGCATCATACTCTACAGTATGGGAAACCTATATCTTGGGTAGTAAAAAGTAAGAGGTTCTGAAGAAAAGCCCATGATTGTTCTCTTTTACAGCTGATGTAGTGAACTTGATGACTGCGTGGTTAAGATTTGATGAGCAGCAGTATAAGGAGGATCTTGTAAGTCCATGCTGTAACTGAAATTGAGGCATAGATCTTAAAGCGCTTATAGATAGCAGTTTGAGGCTAGTGCTTGAATTGTGAATGTGATCAAAACACAGGATTCATGAACAAAGGCGAAAATATGTAATAGCCCTATCCCTATATCATTTGCTATGAGCATCCGAATCTTATATCTTCACTCTTTTTTCCCCATTACTTATCTCAGAAACTAATGGCCTAAGTTGGTAGTTTTGGTGCCCTGCTAACTCTGAATGACTAATGGCTTCACTTCTGCGTCACATTCAGCTAGAGATAATGAGGCAGAAATGATGCAAGCATGTGAATAAATGCATTTATTTAGCTAGGCTATGTCAATGGACTGAGGCCATGTGTTTGGTTTGGTTTTTGGGCTTCCAAAGCCATGGTTATCAAACCCAAAATCTGGTTTGGAAAGGAAAAAACTTCTGTTTGGAAAAAAACTTAGCATAAATGGCGTTCCAAAACCATGGTTGAAGTCAAAAGTTACTTTTTCTTGTTTTTGGTCCCAAAACTAAGCATGTTTAAATAAAATATTCAAACATAAATTGTACAAGAGTAATTTCCTTTTATGGGATAATGAAATTTTTAATTTATTACATTTGTTTCAATTATCCTTGAAGTTTAATTATTGTTAATCAAGTCCCTAAAGTTTCGAACCCATACAAGTAGTGCTTTTGGTTTGTAAGAAAAATTAACTTCATAAATGACTAATTGCAAATGGTTTTGAAATTTCAGAGACTTAAATAATAAAAATTAAATTTTACAGACTAAATTGATAATTAAGAGAAAGATTAAAAATTTCTTAATTCTTATTTTATCTTAATGTCAGTTTACAAATTATACTTTACAGAAATATTAATTTTTCAAACTTTAAATCAAGCGCACACTTACTCCCTCCGATCTCAAAATATTAGTAGTTTTTAATAATAATTCACATCCTAATAAAATTTTTATTTTCATAAAAATATACATTATTTTGTAATCCTTAATCTCAATGTAATAAATTTATTCAAGAATCCATGTTAATAAATATAATAAATAAAATGAGAATTTTTTTTTTTGGTTACAGCTACTTAAAAAGGAAGCTTATATTTTGGAGTAAAGGGAGGAATTTGTAGAGGCACATGAGCGAAGTTGTGTGGTTTTTGCAGCTAGCCTTTGTTGGTTTTCTTCTTTGGGTTATTTGTCCTTTTGGGAGGTATAAAATTGTTGTAAGCTAAGCCATCTTCCTTACAGAAATAAAATAAAATTCAAAAGAAGTAAACAATTTAATATTGCAACGTGGGTTTAAAAAAAATACTTAAATTATTTTTATATTCATCTTTAGATAAATTAATTCATGTCACTTTATCGGATTACTATTAACATTAAAAAGTGAAACTAGTTCAAACCCAGTACTAAAAAAAAATTGCATAATTTGTTTATGGGAGTAAACAGCGACCATGTGATTGCAATTTTAAGAAAAGACATTTTAAGATGTCATAGTAACCCACTAGAACTTCTAAATTCTAATATCATTATCAATAATTTACAAACATCCTTTTATTCCTCCCATCCAAATTATATTATATGACCTTCGTAAAAAAAATAATAATAATAAGGAGAAGAAGAATATCATAGCATATGACTAGAGTTGAACATGGGCAGAGTTGGACTAAGCTAACAATTAACTTGAAGCCCGACCTTAAAAATGGATGGGCTTTGCTTGTTAACTTGATGCTCGACCATGCTTGAAGATTGCCCAAAATTTGTAGGGTTAGGTGCATAGGGTCAAGCATTATGGTAGGGTTGAGCGAGTGTGTTTGTCCAGCATGTCTTAAATTTTTTTTTTTGTCTCCAAATCTTTGTTGCTTTAGGCCTTGGACTAATAATGTAAATGGAAACGAAATGGGCCAATACATGCAATATTCATATTGGAAAGAAGGAGCAGACAACCAACAACCAATATGAAAAAAATATAACAAAAATTTGTCATATTAACTTGAAAATTCAAATCAATATCCTTGATGAGAGGAATAAAAAAGGCAACTAATATGGAAAAAAAAACAAAAATCTAAACTTAAACGAAAAAAATTCAACAAAATAACACGTTAAATTTCAAATTTGAAGCAATAAAATTCAAACTTGAAGCAAAACAAAATAACAAAAATTCAAACATTGAATCAAAGCAAAATGGTTGAAAA